TTGTGCGAACGATCTCATTTTTTAATTCGAATTAATATATAAATCGCGCAAAACAAATTTATCCGTAACGTCCAACGCACTTGTGTGGCAACAGTGAAAACAAAATATTTTTATGCGTCGTGCAAGGAGGTTGTAATATATGTATAAGATTTAACCAAAAGTTTATGTTTTGTGTGGACCGTGGTATACATTTAAGTTTCTGGTTCTACTGGGCTCTTGGAAATTTCCATTTTACTACACGGTGTTATAGGGATTCCACTTTTTCTTCCTCCACACTTTTTGGAATTTCCACTTTACCGCCCGCCACTATGGAATTCCCATCTTACTGCCCACTGGACGGATAAATGTGACATTCCAACGCTTCGACGATGGTCGAAAACCAAACTTTCGGTACAGGTGTGACAAAAATGTTATACTTAATGAGTCATGTTTTAATTTCGATTACCGTTTACCTTTGTGTTTATCATTTCGATTTCTTAATTATATAGCATTTACGAGTGTAACGAGAATTTTGAATGGCTGATGAAATTATCTTTTGGGATGAAATTAATTCAACAGCGGATTATCCTATAAATAAGGGAGTAGGTTGTGGAATTTTTCAAGAATTTCGTGGAAGATTGAATGCTCTGCAAACATTTTTAACACCTTTAATAATACACAAAAACAGTAAAATAATGATATATATTGGAATAATAGTCTTGAAATATTCTTCCGATCTCGACAAATATTTCCGTTCTCTCTTAAAATAACAATTATGTACTATCACTATAATAACACACCTCCACGAAAAAAAATAAATTGATCTTGTGTCAACGTTATTGATATACCTAAGTTATTTTGAATATTATAATTTTATTAAAAGTAAGACTTTTAAGTTTATTATTAGTTCTTTTTCATATGCAAAAATTTACATTCCAATGGTCGTCAACATTTAATACAAAGGATTTTAATTGATTTTTATTTAAAACATAATATAATTAGTGATTGAAAATTTCATGAAATATAAGATTGTGAAATATATCATGAAAATTTCATTTAATGTTTCATGAAATATTTCAGTATTTTAAAAAAGATTGTTTTTCTTTTAAATATGTTTAATTCTTATGTTTTCAAATTTTTGAGGTAGAACAAATTTATATGACCCATTAGTTATTAAATGAATTTTATTTTGTTTTATTTTTAATTTTGTCAAGTTTATTATTAGTTAAATTTTGTTTGTAATGAAAGTTACATGTTAAAATTTAAGTACAGTAAGATTTAACACTACAAAATTTCAGTATGTGAAGTTTCAAAAACAATAAGGGTTGAAACATGGGCGCCCAGAGGGAGGGGCAAGATGGGGCATTTACCCCTCCCCTGGAAAAAACTAATCGAACGATTAATAACAAGATTTGCAATCGAACAACTGCGAAGACTTCAATTTTTATTTGATAATGAATAAAGTGTGTACCTACAATTTTGACACATTTTATTGTTTGCTAAGAATGCATTTTTTTTTAATATACTTTTTGGTGTTCGATTTAAATATGTCCCCCTCACTGATAAATTTTCTGCCGTCGCCAATGGTTGATAAATAACTAGTGTAAATAATAGGTACTTACTATATATACATACCATATAGGTAATAGGTACCTACCTACTCTATTTCTCCATAAATAATTATAACAATCAATATCTGGATATCTAGTCACCATAAATATCCATGATTACTATGTGTAGAGTGACGTTAAAAAGGTTTTAAATTCACGGACAAATGATAATTTTGTACCTATATTTTACTACCTAGTATGTAATTAAAAAACTACAACTAGCAATAAGAAAGTGAATATCCATGGATTTAAAACCGTTTTTAAGTTACCTTGTAATAAAATCATAAAATAAAACTAAAATTTATACCACATACTAGTATCATTTGAATGAGTTGTATCAGATTTAACCTGGCTATTGTTATAGATAGGTAAACATGAGACTCATTTCTATTGGTATTTATATTAAGTGGGCCCTAATTATATTCAATTTTCCGGTAGAGAAAATGGACCCAGTACGCGCCTGAGCTCCTAATTTATAAAAAACCGTTAAAATTATTCCTATTCACCCCAAACTACGGTACATTATATTTGAGATACAATTTTATATTTTTATAAATAAGTTCTGTAAAGTATCAAATATACAAATAATAAAATTATAAGTATTTATTTAATTAGATTTATATTATTATTCCATTAAACCTATTGATAGGTAACTTATAGCCTATAGGATAGAATCTTTAATGTTATTATTTAATTGGGTAAATTGAAACGTTTCATGTTCTTTGTTTATCATCATGACATAATTATTCATAACTAATCCTTACATGTTTTGTTTAGAAAAAATATTTTATTGATCGTCCATAAATATTTAATATTTAAATATATACCTAAGTAACCATAATTTTTTAAATATTATGAAGTCAGCAAATTTAATCTGTTGCCCCACCCTTTTAAAAGTTAAAACGATACCCCTGGTATAATATGACGTGATGTTTATCATGGTTTAAATTTCTAATTTGTTATTTGTAATTCAAAAATATAAATGTTGATTATTATAACGAATAATATTATAAGGTCGTTGATTGTAGAATGTTTAATATGATAATAATCTAGATATTTAAAATTACATTTAATTGTACAAACATTTTAAATTATAAAAATAATTTTGTGCTAATTTATGCAAACGAATATTTTGAAACAGCTGAAAATATTAATTTTGTTGGTCATAAATACAAATTTAAGTATGTTAATTACTCATGTAAGCGTTGAAAGTTGTTATCCTCTTCTGACCTGGTTGTTGAAATCTGAATACAATTACTATCAAAGTGTTTAAGATAATGTCCAGGCACGTGTATAATGGACATATATTACAATATACTTATAAAAAATGCATTGGATATACGTTTCACTTTTGCTTGTCCATAAAAATAAAAAAAATAAATATTATGGAGAAACCAATCACGTACGAATTCAATAGATTTCAACGAGCGTATTATATGATCTAATATTATCAATATATTGTTTTACTACAGAAAAAAATAATTGTATATCAGTTTTAAAATTTAATAAAACAAATCTATTATCTCCAATAATAAACAAATTCATAAAAATGTATCATTAGATTACTAGAATTATTATATTATATTGACAAGTGATAACTTTGATATTATAAAATGCCACAAATCTTAAAAAATCAAAACTATAATTATTGGTGTTTTTTTTATCTTGGATACAACAACTGCCTTAGTAATTAAAATAATAATGCATCTTTTACGTTGTGTCAAAATATATATAATATATTGTTTGAATATATGAATAATGATAAACCAATGAGGAATTAATTGTTCTCCTCGCTTGAAATAATTTCTCATTTATCTGAGTTTTATAAAGATTGGCCATTTTTATAATACTCGACCTACCGGTCGCTCTCAAGTCTTTCTTGATTAGCTCCTGTATTGCGTCTTTAATAATCCTTCAACCGACCATCTTGCAGTGCCGTCGTAAGTGTTAGCGAGGCCCTAGACAAAATCAGTACAATTTACTTACGCCTAAATATATCTGACTGTTCTGACTTGACAAATTGTAGGATTGTGGGCTTACGAATTTATTTTAAGTGCGAGGCCTTAGAAAATTGCTTAAGTTGCCTGCTCGCTAACGACGACACTGCCACCTTGTCCGTATAGATTAATTGTTATTACAGATTATTATACTATAATTCATTCGGTACGCCATGTTCATATATATTTTCCTCCAATTTCCTTCTTTATTAAATATACAGCTTACAAACACCTCTTAAAAATGCATTAATCGTTTTTTATATTCTCCCTAGTCAGTACATGTATGCGTCCACCTTGAAATCTTCAAGTTAATCCTTGTTGATGTATTCCATAATTTCAAATAACCCAGAATAAAAGTTAACTTTTTTAATGTATCTACTAAAATGTTATATAAATAATTACTATACATGGTCTAATTTTTCTAAAGCTTAATTTTTTTTATAGGAGCTCAATGGAGTTCAATTTAATATAATACATTATAGTTAGATACAATCACATAAACCATTTACAGAAATTCCTTGTCTGCAGATACAAAATAAACAGATAAATATTATTAAATATAATACATACACTTTACTCAACAAAAGTAGTAAAATATTTATTATTATGTTATGAGCACTTACATAAAAGTAGGAAAATATTTTTTTTTTCATTCAATACAAAAATATAAACAAATTATCTTTTCACAAATAACTTATCATATAGATATTAATATTAAATATATTAATATCTATTTAAACTAATGTACCCAAGCAAAGAAATGCTAAAATATATATTCTTTTATAAATAAATAAACAAAAAAACTTACATTTTAATATCTATTCACCCAAGGTTATCCTGGTTTCAGGTTTTTCATCCAAAGGTTCAACCCACTCCCTCCCGAAATTATAAAAAAATGTATATTTTTATATTGTACTTAACAATCAGTAGTTTTGTCCAATTAAAAGTTTTTAAACAGGTAAAGGTAACTAAATCAACTGTCCATCGTTATTTCTTATTTCTTAATAATAATTATTGTTGTTATCATAACTCTTAAAAATCTATAATCCTCACCAAAATAATTTTTTGAGTATGCGCCTTTTTTCATTATTAAATATATTCAAATGATAATTAAAAATTGAATGAACTTGTATATCAAAAAATAAGTTTAACATAGTTTTAATTGTCGTACCAAAAATGTATTTATTATCTTTTTATATCATAATAAAAGTATAAATTAGTATTATTAGATTAATCCTAATTCATTTTATATTGTAAATGTTTGAAATACATAATTTTTAGCTATACATTTGTTTTGTATACTTCAATTTTGAGTTTTTAATTATATTTGATTTTCCAAATCATGAATATAAATGAAGATCTAATATTTGTATTCAACTATAATTGAATGTCATTATTTTACAAATATATTTTGAATAAAACATAAATATAAAAAACATACAAAAAGCATGATAATGCTCAATATGTTACTTATAAATAATACTTAATATATAGCACTTAAATGTCTCTATTTAAATAAATTTGATTAATTGTCAAGAGATCATAATGTTTACAGGCTATCGATCTATTTCATTATACCGAAACCGTTAACTTATACGAATAAATTAACTTATTTTACTTAGTATCAAAAACGAAAATTCACAATTGATTATGCATATTAAGGTTATCATTGCCAATTTTATAAGGGAACCAATATTTTTAAATTTTTATTGGTGAAACTGGCTGATATAAATGACGAAAATTGTACAGGGTGTATTATCAACCATGAATACCATGTGATTTATGTCTAAAAAATTTTTCAAGTTGACGGTTAGATTGGAAATGCACAGCTTATCAACATTTCAATTGGTTGCAATGAACTCCGATTTCCGTACACATACACTCTAAACAAGGATTAGATAATTCAGCAATAATTTTTCCCACTCTGTACATACGTCCATAAATATTACAACCCGATATTTTTAACATAGAAGGTCCTGAATTGAAATCAGCATCAAACTTAGTCTTCAATGGTTTTAAACCAATATTTGATTTAACTTCTGTATGCTGTTTAATTTCAGGACGAAAACTGATATCAATGTTTTGTTTGAAATCGAAATGGGGTTTAACTTCAGTCGGAAGTTTAAAATCAAGATATGGTTTCATGGGTTTCGCTCCGACTTGTTTATTATTGACATCAAAGTGTGTTTTCATTTGGGTCTGATAGTTAAAATCTGTGTAGTTTTTGACCTTAGATTGAAGTTTTGTATCCAACTGTGTCTTTATTTCAGATTGATCTTTGACATCGAAATGTGATTTTACTTCAGTTTGGTGTTTATTGCCCAAGTCCTGGTTTGATTTTAAATCATCTTGATGCTTAAAATTTAACTGTAATGTACCTTGAGTATTTTCATTTACGCCATAATGTGAGTTGACTTCTACTTGTTGTTTATTGGCATGTGGACTAGCTTCAATGTGTGATTTAATTTCTAGATGTGGTTTTACGTCAACATGTTCCTTAATTCCAGCATTAGGTTTGACTTCTACAGTTTTGTTAAAATCATGTGCTTCAATTTTGTCATGTTTGCTTTCTGAATTTTGTTTTATATCGGATAATGGCTTAATAGTTGGTTGGTCTTTTGGATTTGTATCCTGTTCAACGTTCGAATTAGAATTAGTTTTAAACATTTGTTGAGAGAGTGTCGCGGATTCGGTTTGTGGTTTTGCGCCAATTAAATGAATTTTTTCGTCTATTTCGTCATCCGTTCTGTGTTCTATACGAGTCTCTACCTCCATATGGTCATCGAAAAGTTTTGAGGAAGAAGGGGTCGATGGTTGTTCTGGTGTGTCACCGTTAAACAAAAACGAAAACATACTTTCAAAACTATAATCTTCATCTTCAAGTGGTTTAGGTATCGGAGTAGTAATTTCTACACGATTAATAGAACCAGACGTAAAAGAATATATCAACTTTTCAGTGGTGGTAGCTGAAGCTGGAATTAATTTTAAAGTGGTTGTAATTGGTATTAAAGATGTTTGCTCAGAAGACGTTGACATTTTTACAGTTGTCGATGGTGTTGTTATTATTGGTTTATTAGTTGTAGATGGTGCAGAGTAAATAATGTGCTCAATAACTGCATCTTTGATTTTTGAAGTTGTTGTTGTTGTTGTTGTTGTTTCAGTTGTCACTTCAGTCAATTTCAAATTTTCCGTAGTAACATCATTTTCAGAATCATCTATTTGAGAAAAAACCAAAATTATGAGAAAAAAAAAAATTAACAAAATATAGTTAAATTGCAATGTTTACTGGTTTGAAAGAAACTCAAATAAGCACTAAGTCAAACAATCACTTATTTTAATCTATAAATAGTAATAAATTTTGCCTAAATATTAAAAAACTAATTCAAACATCTATAATGAAATTTCAATTATTATTATCAAATATGAAAGTAAACTTTAATTCAAATATTAATCATTTATGTAATTATTTGAAATATGTTATGTTTAATCAAAATGTTGACCAATTTTGTGATACATTTTTGTTGGGATTTTAATTAAGATACAGAATATGTATCTTAAATATTTGATAAAGTTTATATTATTTGCTTCTAATTTTTTCTTATTAGTTTCTAATAGAGATATCTTTACGTTTGTCCATGTCCTGCCTAGAATTTTTGAACGATGTATGTATGCACAATAGGATTATTAAATAGAATTTTTTTTTCTTATAAAATTTCAAAAATCAAATTTGACTAAACTTTAAAAATATTAAATGTACAAATTGTTATAAGTAATTTGATTTTGATCATCTACAACTTACTGCAAATAATTCGACCACAGCAAGTGCTATTGTTCGGGTCATTAACTCGCTGGCAGCCTACTTTAACGGCTGGACAATTTTCTTGGCACACAATTTTGGCGTTGAAACAAATACATATGTTGCAAGCGCTTGGATCAGTCAGCAACTCACCATGTTTATACTTCTTATCATTGGACAAGCACCAAACTATACGATAAAAAAAAAAATTAAATATTTGATTCAAAGGTCGTTGTCTTTAATACATAACTTTTAAAATTATCGTCATACAAATTGTTATAAATAACTATTTTTGAAAAACAATAGCGTTATAACATAATTAATTTACAAATTTAAACTTAAAAAGTAGTAGTTTATTTAATATTGATTGTTACTACATTCAAGTGAAAAAAAAATAATTACTAAACTACTTTTTTTATTATATAGTATTTTATTATTTATGGAAGCTATTTTGAATAGTAATTTAGTAAAAATTCAAAATTAATATGGAATATTATAAAATAAATCGGTTATTTTTAAAATGCACAGTTTAATACCGTGTATATACATATATAAGTATACGTTTACAAGCTATAAAATATTTTGGAAAATGGCCAAAACACATAGGTATTAGGTGACCTATCATCATAACAATTGTATGGATCATATAACCGTTATTCGAGGTGGTATAAATTTAGAAAAATACTAGCACGTTAAATTATTTTTTAAATAAAAAATGGTTAAAATATTATACAAAATAATCATTAATATAAGTTGCAAAAAGTATTGCTAACTAAAAACAATTAAACAAATATAATGTAATTTAAATATTATACACAAAATAACATTTTACAGTTGAAATTGTTTAACATTTCAATATAGTACCTATACAAATTTTAAATGTATACTAATTTTAAATATATAAAAAATATTATAATCAGTATTATATTAATACATTTTATAGCTGCTAGATTTAATAAATTATTAGTGCACTAGTGAACTATAAAATATTAATTGGAAAAAAAGCCAGTAAGATAATGGTAGCAGAAATTCGTTCTTCGTCCCTTAGGTCCTTGGATTGTATAAGAGTAATGAAATTTAAAATTGAGTTTTAAAGGAATGATAACTAATTTCTATAGTAAAACGATTATAAGTAAAACTTAAGTAAAAAATACGCCGTTTACATATTTTTACATTTATAGTCTAATTGTCGGTGGGTTCTATTTTTTTATCAATCTATTTAAAATGTTCATGTTTGAGGAAAGGTAATTTTTTTTTAATCAAATGTTCAAAAAATATTTTATCTGTATCCAAAGTAATCATTATGATAGGATGTACCAATTTTTTTTTAATAAACATTTAAAATTGAAAATTAATGCGAAAACAGTAAATTTCGTAAAATTCATCTAATAATTTACTTAAAAGATTATAAAATAAAATACTGATTGGCAATTTTTAAAAAAATTTTAGTATCGTTAGGTTATTATTGGTGATAATATATTTCTAATTCCTAATATCCAAAAAAAAAAAAAAAAAATTGTATTTCTTAATAACTTTCATAAATAAATTATTTTCAATGTTCTATATTTAAACCAAAAATATTTAACTTTTTATAAAAATTTCGTTAAATATGAAAAAAAAAGGCATTGATTTAGGGTAAAAATTTCAAATTTCTAGCCACATTACTTTTGGAGTTATGACTAAATAACTAAAGTCTGAAAAGTGGAAGTCTCATTTACTGCAGATTTTTATCGTTCTTACTAGGTTTTTCGACGGTTTTTCCTCACGCCTGAAAAAACTATTGAGGTGTTGGAAAAAAGGCTTCTTTACCTAAGGCTGATATTTAGATGAAACTTTTGGATCAGTATTACCAGTCAAAAAAGTGTTTACAGAAAAAAAATATAACGTAAACATCATTATAAAACCATAAGATCACTTCACTTAGAATCTAAAATTACCATTGTATAATTTAAATATAAATTTAAAAATTCTAGTTTATATTTAAAAATAATAAGTATGAGCTCAATAATTAATAACGTTTAATGTTAGTTTGATTATTTAATTTACAGAAAAAATTTTTTATTTAATGTAATTATTTATTCTTGTATTTATTTTGTATATTTTTTTTGGCCAATAAATTATTATCTTATCTTAAAAAAAATTGTATACGAGTTTAATGCTTATACAAATATTAATTTAATAAATTACCAGATCCTATCGGTGGAAGTCCTACTACTGGTTCATCCAAATGAATAATAGGCTTTATAACTGCATGTTCCGTAGTCGTTTGAAATTTTTTAGTTACATAATGACCACCATTTGGAGAATCCTTTGGAAGAAATCCGCCTAAATATTTAATTATTAACTTTAACATGATAACATAAACTGTAATAAAATAGTTTAAATTCATAAAAGTTGCTAAAACTTAAGAGACATTTTTCTTTTTTAATATTCGTTAATTTTAAAATATATTTATATAGTTAAATTCTGCTAATTTATAGTACCCCGATGAAATATCGTCGGTAAAATATCGCAACTAAAATATCACGAAACCAATATATTGTAGAAAAATAATACCGCCGTACAATATATCGCATCTGTATATTGCATTTAACTTAATCTTATCTAACCATATTCACCTTTTACCTTTTTTTTTTGGAGTTTGAAGACTATCTTCAAGGTATTTCAATGAATATAATATATAATATATTAATTTTTTTTTTTAATACTTATATCAATTCTACTATATAACAATATTATATGCTTAATATATAATATTTGTTTATAATTAAATTACTACTATATTTCATGCTGACGATATGTATACTGGCGATATTTATTCCATGCGATATGATGGTTTTGCGATATTTTACCGGCGATATTTTGTCGGTGATTCCTAATTTATTTATTTTAATGTTTAAATAATTACCCTCTGTCTCAATAGGTGGAGAAAAATTATTTATCACAGGTGAGAGCGGTTTTTCAATATCTGATGCATTGTACACACGTTCAACTTCTGGTTGATAATTATCATAAATTGCGGCAGGTTCATTGACAACTGCATCTGCTGCTACAAATGGTATGATCCTGTGCATCAAAAATAATATTTATTATATATAATTTACAGTTAATCAATACTTAGCACTTATTTAAAATACTATTTATGTTATCTGTTATTTAAAACAATAAGTAAGTAATTTACAAGTTTATACATTTTTACAACATATGAATTGTATTTGAAGAAAATTGTTCATTAACAACAATTCATAATACATAGGTATATATACCTATATATAATTAATTACCTAGTAATTGTATGGGACTACATGAAATACTGAGAATGAAATACGGATTAGAGTTTTCTCTGCCCTTTTTTGCCATTTTAAATATAGATATTCAAAAATGGTATGTAAAACAAGTAGTGATACTATTTTGAATTTTGACATTTGTTATTTTGTGAAATAATAATTATTACTTATATTATAACGGTTAAAAATAAAGTTCTATTGTATTCATTAAATTCAAAATTATAAGGCCATGTAAAGCTTCAATTAAACATTTTTTTTTTTTTTTTTTGATATGGCTAGAAAAATTTAAATAATAAATCAAATACTAAAGAACTAATAGATTTGTATAATTATTTTATTTTTCAACAAGAAAACAAAAACTGAAACTTTAATGTAAGAAATAGATAATTACTTTAGGTTTGGTAAGGATGGTGGTAATGTTGGTTCATCGTAATCCATTTCAAAATTATTCGTTTTTTCAGTAACATTAAAACCACCAAAGCCATCGTGCATTAAACCGACAGGATTGGCGTGTCTTGATTCCATAGGATCCTCAATTATTGAATCCGTCGTGTTCCTTAATTCTTCGGTTATAGAACTTTGTGTACTTTGGGTCTCTACCATCTGTTAAACACACGGTAATGTAATTTAAATTGCATACACGTTTGCCTAAAAATTTAATTCATAAATAATGTTAATTGGTTTATGAGAAGTGTGACAATGACAAATTAACAATTCAAAAAACATAATGTCCAGAATTTATTAAGCTACTCATTTAGCATGTTGCAAATTAATAGAAAAGGTGAAGATGGGAATTAATCAGTCAAAACTAACCTAACCTAAATTAACTCACCATTTAATGCATAGTTATAGTACCTAAGACTTAGAATCGCGAAAAATGTTTAGATTCGAAAATACAATAATATTATGAAAAAATGTTGTAATTTTCAAAATAATTTTCTCACAGCGTTTTAACTTAATATTATAATAACAGATTTATGGCAACGGATTAATATAGTAATAATAATAATAATAATAATTTACCGTTGACATAACGCTCGGAGATGAAGACGATGGCGATGACGACGAAGTGGGTGGCAGCGCGGGTGAACTGGTGAGCGAGACAACATCATCGGTGGTCACGGTGGATGGTGATGTTATCGTAGAGGCTATTGTGGACGTCGTGGTCGTCGTCGTCATAATCGTCGTAGTCGCGGTTGGACCGACGTGAGATTCTGAAAAGAAAAACGAGTCTATAACGGCAATTCATTATACATTTCCAACGAACGATTTGAGAGTATAGGAAAACAAAAAGTTAACGTGCGCATAGGATGTAAACGCGCAATATTAATATTATCATTATCGTTATTATTATTATTATTACTATTATTATTACTATTATTATTATTATTATAAACGTGTGCATGGGTGTGCGCTGGAGAAGTCAGTGACCCTGTGCGGAGGAATCGCACGACGCCAAGACGTACCGTTGTTGCTCGTGCTATTGCTGCTGCTGCTGTTGCTGCTGCTGGTGCTGCTGCTGCAGTTATAGCTCGTCGGACAGCAGTGCCCTTCCGAGTAGACCGGTCCACAATTGGGCGATATTTGGGCGCGGATAGGCGGACATATCACCTTGTCACATCGCACCTGGCCGTTGATGCAGAAACAAGTTTCGCACGACGACCGCGCCACGCCAATCACGGGCTCCCCGAACGATATCAACCGACCGTTTATACGACAATCTGCGGCGAACAAATCAAATTTCAACCATGGAGATTTAAACGTTTGTGTTTCGTTCGTATTTAAACGACTGTAAACATGTTGTCAAAAATACTTCGTGATATTTTTTAGAATCAATGTAAGTGTACACAACTGTATGAATCGATTGTACGTTAAATATCAAAGTTGGGCAAGTTGTACTCAATTTTAGTGACTGAGTAAGCTACAGTTACGTATATCGATATTATGATATTATATTAGATTATGTTACAAGTTACTATAAAATATTAACAACTAGTTGTAACTACACACTCGTAAGAAAATTACCATGGTTGAACATCGTTAAAAATATAAAATAGTAAATTTTACTTGACTATTATAACATCGAGAAGTTAATTTTTAATAAATAGTTATTAACGAATTATAAAAGAAAATAATGAAAGTTCGAATTTATTTATATTTGTAAAATTGTATCTAGTTTATGTCCAGCTTTATTTAAGACAAATATATACCTATGTGAATATTATTTTTCCAGAATTAGGACTATTTATTCGTCATATGTTTACACAGTTAAAATATTTTAATATTTCATTATTTTACCCCTCAGTTTTTTTATTTGTAGAACAATTAATTTTATCTAATGATTAATTTTTAATCTTATACTAATTTTTTACCTTTAAACCGAGCAAATACTGAAGATATTTCAGTGGTTGGTGCATCTGTTGTATTTTTTATAATTGTATCAAGTAATGCTGAACCTGTAAAATAAATACATATTAGTAAACTCTCGAAATATTAAACAATAAATCTCAATACAACCATTAATATAAATAAATGTTTAACATGATTATGTAAAAGTAGGTATACGCATTGACGAAAATATAGTAAATTTCTTAAAATAATCTTTCGATTATTAAAAAAATATGAAAAACCTATAAACTTATAACTACCTTACAAGTAACCTAAATATTTTACAATAACTTAAGTCACATATTTAATATGTCCATATATTAGGTTCATATACTTATAGCACCCTCATTTGTCATATGCACTTACATTTGTATCTAATTGGACAACAAGTATGTTTTTTGTACACAGCGGTACAACCTGGGATAGTTAAAGAACACTGTGGACGTACACATTGTTGATGCCCTTTGAAACAGTAACAATATTCACATAGGCTGGAACTATCCATCGCTGAACCTTCCGCGTATATTGTACCGTTTACCATGCATCCTTACGAAGAAAACATAATTACATTTTTGTCGATTTTTTTTATTATTTTTTTTAATTTTTATTTTTTTAGATTAAGTATACAAAATGTCTTTTTAAATACCTTTAGTCAACCCATCAAACGTCACAATTGCAGAATTTTCCATCCTTGCAGGTCCAGATCGAGATTCAGTTTGTAATGAAAAAAGATTTGAATGCACGGCATCAAATTGTTCTACAACCAATGTGGAAATCCATTTTTTAAATTTCATAATGTCGACTTTGTTAATATTAAACTTATAAATTCATTAATCGTTTTATAAGTATAGTTTAATTTAAATCATAATAAAAATGTGTATATTTATTTTAACATATACATATTTAAATAACATAATTTATTAAAATAATTAAATTATATTATTATAATTTAAAATGGTTTTATTAACGGCTCAACATATCTAAATTATTAATATTTTAAATATCAATAGGTCATTATAATATTATTTCATACGTAATAATTTTTCAGTAGAATTAAATTATTAGTATATCATTTTAAACCATAAAAAAAAGTTTGGAAAAAATTTTACTATAACGAATAATGTCCCTTTAAAAATATTAAATAATTTTGAATTTTGTATTACATTTACAGTTTAATTTATTTTTTTTATTTTATATTTGAGTGTAATAAATTTATATATAATTAAAAAAAATATGTAATTAATTTATAAATTTCACCATAACTTTGGTTTGATTAAAACCCTTAATTATCATATAAAGTGTTATATATTCATTAGCCGTTGTCTACAATGATTTATGAAGTTAATAAACCTCAGATTTTGTTTGATAAATCTATTTTAAAAAGTATGATTAGAGGATTCAAAACGTATGCATAATACGCACATCCGATTGATTTTTAAAACGAATGGTTTAACTAACGGGATTTGTGGTTCGGGTGTGTCTCTTTATGCGCGATATATCATACTGTGTTCATCAAATATCGTTGCTACTTGCGTGCGAGTATCTATTCGCCTTGAAACAGTGAAGCTTGATTGGATCACTCATAATTATACTTATACTACTTATTTATTTTGTATGTTTATTTATAATTGAAAAAGAATCTTTACATTCAAATTGCATATTTACTTTTTTTGGTTTATTATCGGTAAAAAAATAAATTTTTATCATCTTAAAATAAAAGTTACAGGAATCGCAATTTTTATAACAATTTAGAATAATGAACTCATATGTGATCAACAAATAAATAAAAAATATCCGTCATTTATCCAATAATTAAAATTATAGAACTCAATTTCATATTATATTTACTCGTACTAAAGGTTATAATGAGTACATTATTATTAAAAAAAAAATACATGACTTACTCTAAGTTAAAAACATATTTGTGTTAAATAAAAATTATTAGTTTCAAATATAGTTAACTATTTATATTATAAAGTTTTTAACGTTATTTTTTTATTTATTATATTTAATATAGAATTCAATGTATATTTTAAATAGTAATTTACAGACAAAACAATTAACTATAAAATTTATTCCTAAGATTATAAGTAAATAAATAAATAAATGTTTGCTCAATTAGTTAAATTTTATCAATATTAATTTTTTTATGAAATTGTACACTGGAATGTCGTATACAATGTGTACACATTTTCCACTAAACGTAACATTACTAAAGTATTAATTTGTTTTATACTGTGTCAACCACCCGCCGGAATTTACGACCGGTTTCCCCCGTGTATGTGCCCGACCCTTTTTCACGCTTCTCGCTTGTCGCTTCACATTCGTTTAGTTGTATTTAAGTAACTGCTTCTAAAGTAATAAAGCAAATATTTCGAACAAAATATAATTTTTAAATGATAATTGTAAGCTAATAGAAATTCTTATTGTATATTATATACAATGATTATATTATTATAAATGCGTTTACACTATTGAGTTAATGTATATATATAAAAAAAAACAAACCCTATCTAAGATTATTGCATGTTTGTAAATAAGTAAAATTATTAAATTAAGATTTTAGTATTAAATAAACTAGGTATACATATATTTAAAATTTTAAAATTTGTTACCACTCTTGTCTATACGAAATGAGCTTACGAGAATTAATTAATTTTGATAATATAAAAGTGATTGATAAGTAATCAAATGTTGTTATAACAAATTACAATAATGATTTGAAAAATCATAACAACTATTTACTTAAAAAAATACTATTCATAAACCATTATTTAGAATATTATCAATTATAAATTGTTTCTTTCGACATTGTCAGTAATTTAGGTTTACATGCAATTATATATCTTTGCTCGGAACCGATGTTTTCTCGTAATTTTTCTTAATAGTACTCACATTTCACACATTCTACACTCTTTTGTTTAAAAAAATATTAGTGTTTTAAAATATGCGTATTATGCGTATGTAGATACAAATTACCCATGTATTTTCATCATATAATTTACCAACTGATGAAATCTAAAAAATCAGCTTAATTTTTGTCATCGAATTACGTTTCGATTTTTTTTAAATAAGTCTACTTAAAGCTACTTGAAACATTTTCCACTTTTATGAATGACAATTTGTTCAAACCTTATTTAAATTTATATTTGTGTATAAAATAGAGTGATTATAATAAATACATGTTTTAAAAACTGGCGAAATAATATTGGCAAGCACACATCACTCTTTTTACCAGTAAACTGGTCTTGAATGAATGACCTGTAGCAGTGGTGGAGCATGACAGTTGACCTCAAAGTATATACATTTAAGAGGACAAGCAATAAAAAATCACCACATGAATATCCCATTCATAAATCAACCCAAAACATTTGTATTGTCATTTTGCATGGTGAATTTAATTTGCATGCATAAAATCAAAGTTCTTTCGTCTCTCTTTGTCAGTTCGTTATTAGAAAATATAAACATAAATATACTGATACAGGAGTACATGTTATGTAATTACATATTCGATAATTTGTGTACAAACACACAAGTGATGTGAAACTGTTTTTGACGACCGAACAGAAGATAAAAATTTATTTTTTATTATTATTTGAAATAATTTCCATTTCACAGTAAGCGTTATAAACTCAATGGGTATAATTCATATTAATACAATATATTTTTTTTAACATCAGCCACACAATCATTTATTAATAATTTTGTGGCTGATGTTAAAAAAAAAGATATTTTCAATGTTTATAATTTATTAGTCATAAACATTTAAAATACAAATAACAAAATAAAAAGAATAAGGATTTAGAAAATGTTCAAATGTAGGTACTAGCCAAAATCTTATCTATTCTTTTTTATGTATTATATTTTGGAAGATTAAGTAATAAATGAATATATTTATTTAATAATTTTATTTACCCATAGTAAATAATTTTTTACGTTCAATCACAGTATAACAAAGTAAATTGTTTTCTTATTTCTTGTATAGTGAATAAATAAACATTAAAATCTTACCTATATTATAATAATACGATAATACTAAATGTAAGTATGACATATATTATTTTGTGTTTATATAAATATAACTCAATAATTATGAATTAATCTCTAATGATATATCCTTTAACAGTTATTTTACCGTAATAACATTGAAGGTGCGCACAACATTTATTCTTCTTATGGACAATTACACATCCCTGAGGTGGTGGATCCGGTAATTCCGGACAAACTTGCAAATGGCATATTAAATTTCCAGTGACACACGTACATTTTAAGCACGGCTGATCTGTATTAACCAATGCTCCTGGTTCGTAACTTCGTCCTTTGTAATTACACCCAACCGACGCAATTTCTAAATTAAAAAACGAATAACTAAGAAAAATGCTTGTCTAAATACTATAATATAGTTTGAGTTTATATGTTTTGGAAGTATTTTGAAAAATTATTTGAAAAACTCTAATCTTTAAAAAAAATCATATGATAAGTCAAATGTTTTATCCAGTATAATATAATATACTATAATTAATTAAATTATATTAAATATCTGATAATTAAATTAAAAAATATTTAATAAGTATTTCTACAAAATTATAATGAAGTTATAATATATTTTTCCAATACTCAATCCCTTCGAAATTTAAAATGTTTCGTAAACTGAAAATGTTTATTAATACTGAATTCGTTTTTGATAAATCTATAGTAAATAATCCAGTTGCAGTTTGTATCATAAAACATTTATTTTATTAACTATAAAAACTAATATATTTTTCTATCCAAAATTTTCAAAAAAGTTGCTTTTGTTTTTAATAATACTTATATAACAATATTTATATGAAACAATTAAATCCTTTATAATTTATTACTTCATCATTAGTCGTTACTGTCACGTCTAATGAAAACGTTTGGTACATCATTGTCCATTGAATTTAGGTGCAGGCAATAAAGTATATACAGAGAAGAGTCCGACATAACGGTACCCGTATATACACGCTATATTACTTCTTTTTGCCGTACTCATCAGTATAATATATGCCGTAGCGTATATATAGCTTATTATTATTACAAATAATCTCTCACACACACACATATATACACACCCATAACTATTTGTAGCATTTATATGTTTTTTTAAATATTTGTTTATTTGAAGTTACTTCGAATTAAATATGCTTTCTAGGGATTATTTCGTACTTAAAATAAAAGTTCTATTTTGTTAATATATTTTTAATTTAAGTAAATTTATTACTATAAAGTATAAGCACGATTTAACTTAACTAAACGTTAACAGATTAAAGTAACTAAAACAACCTGTCAATAATTTCAATATACCTATCTTATAAATAGGGCCCGGATTTCAATGCAAAGTGCATATTTTTTTTTGATTGATCATACACAATACTCTTTAAGAACATAATTCGTTTCATGTAACAAGGGTTTTAAAACTACAAATTTTATTTTGCATTTTTTTTGCATATTTCGACGTTTTTTTCATTTTTAGAGCATTTTTAGTATTATTGGGTCATTTTGTAGGTTTTTAATGCATATTTGTTCGACATATTAAACAAATTTAGCCTATTCAAAATAAAATCAAAAGACAAATTATCTTCTTGATATTTAAGTAGGTTTATCGGGTTTTTCCATACACATTGTCAATCTTTATTTTTTGATTCAGTTTTTATCTTATTTTAATTTATTATAGACTATGGAACGTCACTAGTATTCGGTCAAATAACAAATAATCAGTCAGTTCATATTACATCGCAGACGTTGCTTGGATTACGTGTGATTGTGATTTAAATGTATTAAATAGTGCGTTAATGCCCAAAATAAAAAAATTATGTCATTTATAAGGTCATTTTTGTGGTAAAATGCATTTTTTAAGAACATTTATGGCTATTTTTTAGAGCATATTTGTATTATTTAAAAAGTATATAAATCCGGGCCCTACTTATAAGCTATCAAAATTATTTTTGAATATCTACATTAATAATCACAATGGCAAGACTTATTATACTGTTTAAGTCACTAGCTTTAATTAAATAATTAATGTTAATATGCGGAACCGCGTGAGAGGTTGGTCAATCCAAAAATTCTAATTGTTTCGTGGGAACTCAGTTATTTGAAAATCATTCACATACGAATAACGTGGTATTTAAATAACAATAATAATAATATAAATAAAAAAAATATATAATTTAACGGGTTTTGTTTACTGTTTTTTATAAATTTTTAAAACACATTAACTGACGTCAATTCACCCCAAAACATGTTATTTTTCTAGTTTAAAACTCTTTGTAATACATATGCACTAAAAACATCCTTATATGTGGATTCATTTTAGAATAGTTTTAGAATGGAATATTATTTTTACACTACAAATTAATACAGATTAGATAGTTGTAAAAAACATAATAAATCATTTCAATCATTAACTTAACCCTAAGTGAGTAAGAAAGTGCAATTGCACCTTATAGTATTTAACATATAAGATATGCAATAGCAACTTTTTTCATTCCATAAAGTTTCAATGTTTATAAAACTCAGAGATAAGTTTTTTAACTAAATGTTAATTATGCATAAAATGGCAATTTCTATACAACAATTATCTATAGTAAAGAAATGTATTAAATGCAAATGGATCAATGATCATTAATTAATTAATATCAAATAATAAAGTGTAATTTTTAATTTTAATATTTGTAGGTTTACAAATATATTATAAATATCTCATTTTAATTATTTCTAGTTCAATTTTATTTATTATTAGTTCCATTTTATTCTATTCTATTTTTTCTATTTATAATTATATATTTATAATTATATCTCATTTTAATTATACATTATAAATATATCATTTTTAAAAATCGTACTGACTTTATACTGTATACTATACATATAAATGATCTATGAATATATTTATTATTTTTTGGTTTCAACGTCAAGTGCAATAACTTCTATTAGAATATTATTATATTATTATAATAATCTGTTTTATAAGAGTTTAAATTAATAAAAAAAACTCCCTATGATATACAAAAGTAAATTATAATTTAGTTGCATATCTACATACATGTTATTTTAATAACACATTGTCTCATTTAAAATATAAAATAATATTATTTATTTTTATGTAGTATAGTAGTACTTTTGTATTATTTATTTTGAATATTGTTTGTCAAGATTCTATTAGGTATAGTATTATCTCACTATTATCAAATAATAATTGTTATCAACATGAGATTGGTTAATTTAAACAGTATGTATAGTTACAGTCTTTTAATAACTAAATATTATATTTTAAATATATTAATTAAACTTCCATATGATAAATGATTAAGCTACGAACAATAATTACGTTAGCAGAATTATTGTTATTTTGAAAAATACTAGACCTAATATTAATAATAAAAAACATTTATTTTATTAATCAGTGAACGTCATTAAATTTTAATTTATAAAAACATATTTGACAAATTCGAATTACATTTTTTTTAAAACAAACCAATTTTCTTGGTCGTAAAAAATTGTATAATTGATAAACCTACTTTTGCTATAGCAAAACCTAGGAAAACGAAACATTTCTATCGGTCTCAAATAAATTCTATCAATAATCTTAAATTAGATTTACCATACTTGTAATATATGTATATTAAATTTAATAATCGAAGGTACTTATTGTATGATAATAGTGTTCAATGTTTATCATTCAATATTTTTTCATAACTTATAATTTCTAAGGTAATTTAATAAAACTATATCGCAATTCATAAAATTTCATTTTCTATAACCACATAAATAGTAACTTTCTGATTTTAGTAATACGGATTAAATTAAATATCATTTTAAGTCATTATAATTTAAATAATAATAATTTAAATTCTATGAATTATTATAAGTAATATAGAAATAATTAAAAGTGATTTTTATACACGGTTTTTGTAGTTATATCCGATTTTTTTTTTTTTATTATTTCTATGTTTAAAAATGTTCAACGCAAAAGAATATTAAGGCTTCTCTCTCAATCTAATAAGTAATATTAATCTTAATAAATAACAACTAATATTCTACCATCTATAATTTGGATTGTTAACATAATATGTCATAAAATGCTAGTTTGGGTATTAAATACAGAAATCAAAACCAATATAATATGGTAAATAACATACACTACTCCGCAGGAATCAAATGAATGAGACTCGTGCACATACACACGCATACACGCGTAAACACACGCACGTAAAGGGTTAAAGAACAGTTATATGGTGATCTTATCTGAGTTACAGAGCATCCAAATTAACGGTGTGTTTAGAATCAAAAACGACCATATGCATACAAAAACATAGTATACATACATTGCTACATGAAGAAATTATGTGAGTAGAATGTGAGTGTTTGTGTGAGAATAACGTGTTGGCTGTTGGACTCACGTCTGCCTCCAAGGGTTTTCGTTCATGGAAATCTGCCGCCCGTGAGTGGGTTTCCTGCAATTCGTAATTACAACCTTAAGCAGCATTTATAAACCGTGAGAAAGTTAATGCATACAATACGCCAACTTAAGATAGGATGTAGAATGTAGACTTTTATTGTTTCCAAACTTCGTGTACCGAAAATCTAATTATTCCGATTATTTTTTCAACAGTTAACCCTTCTAGAAAATAATCATAGATCAGCGTTCACATTGTGTATAAAAAATAATGTTCTGTGCACCATACATTTATATCCACATTTACACATTTAATGTGAATATAATATAGTAGGTATAACTGTTAAAAAAGTTAACGATTAAACGAAATCACCGGAAGTATATTTAATGCTAATAGTTTGTAATTTTGCTTGTTACCTGCATACTTTTTTTATTAATTTTTTTTCCGTTATAACAGACATTTTTTAAAATAGACAATATATGTTTTAGAAAAGGTATTTGGTACCCATATTATTTGATAGTTTTTGTAAACATGAATTTAACCGTAACCGATTTATTTTATACTAAGTTAACACATATATTTTGTGACTTTAAAAAAACTAATTTCTAATTTATTAAGACCAATAAGTACTATTTAGTGACTTTTAATATATTACTTAATAACATTATAATTGCCTAACGGCAAATCTTGAAAATCGATTATCTTAATTTCTTAATTACCTACCGTCAAAACATGAATATGAACTGTAGATGGATTATAAATATTATTTTGGTACAACTTTGATAATTCATATTAAACTAGTGATTTATATTTTAAAACGAATGATAAAAATAATTTTATAAAAAATAATGAAATATACAATAAATATATAAGTATAACATAACTAAGGTAATGATAACGAATAATAAAAGTAAAATAAGTTATATTTCAACATGTCCTAGCAAATTATTAATCATCAGAAAATTTTTCTCGGTTGAATTATTCCTTGTATTTAATTTAATCGGTACACAAAGTATACGTACATGTTGCGGGTGTGTATGTTTGTGTGTGTGTGTGTGTGTGTGTGTGTGTGTGTGTGTGTGTGTGTGT